CTTTCACGATTTGCGTTTCGTAAAGACATGCTATGAAGAAAATTTTAAGAAGCAACTTCTTTTTGACGTTTGAAACCCTTTTTAAGAGAAAAATTGCAACCTAATCTCGCTCCCAGGCGGGAAGCAGCGCGAGCGCTCGCGACTTGAACGGGACTTGACGAAGGAAGTTCGCGGGAGCGTCTATGAAACGTAAAAGCCAGCTTGAGCGTTTTCAAGTCGAACTTGGTGTTGAGGCGGACTTGAGCAAGTCGAAGTTCGGCTTCAGTTGAAGTCACATCTATGAATTCGGGGGTTAGAGGGCAGTTTCTACAGGAACCGTAATATATTTAAACAGTAAAATAAAGGATAGCGTTTTTTGTTTGTTTTTTTCGATTTTGCCTGTCTTTTTTTTTATGCTAAAGTTCCATTATAAATATACGTACTTTCCGTCATACTTTTGTAGTGTTGTCTTTTCCCCAGAGCGCAATCGCTCTCGGGGACCGACAGTCACATTGGCCACTGTACGATAGGAGCTTACCGTTCAGACCAGCGTTCCAACATGACTATCCACACGTTGATCGACTGCACCTAATCCCTCAAGTGGTTTTAAACTCTTTAATGTAAAGCGGAATGCCATCCTGCGACACCCCGGCCCCTCCGATAACGGCCCGACCAGCGGCATCAATGCTCGACAGTTTACGTCATCTCATCTTGTTGTTACACCACTGATACGCGAACACACGGTCACATCGGCGATAATTCCAGTCTTTTGTTCACAACCCACAACACTGCCGACACTGCCATCACGATGTCGCTGACACGAAGAAATACCGAACCACGTTGACGATGTTGCTGACACGCAGAAGAATCACGTTGAACGCCGGTTGGCACTCGGCACGGGACAACGGAACCGAACTCAGCACGGAAGGCATCCAGGCAGCCGGCAGGAAAACCTGCCTTCCTTGGACGCAGTTCCCGCGATTTCCATAACGTCGAAAACGTCGACACAGTTCCTCGTGGTTTCGCTGCTGTAGTTCCGCGTGTGTCCCGCAAATTGGAGACGGCCGTCTTACCCAGTGTATGTAGCGCTGCTGGCACTGCTCCGGAACTTCGCTGTTTCTAGCGGCTTCGTTAGCTCGTTTGATAAAATTAGTGGTAAAAACGTAAATACAACCGAAATGTTCTGCACGTTTGGACTAGAAGACGGAATTACAGGCGGCCTTCGCTGCCGCTGAAGCTCAATCAACTCAACATTAATTTATTAAACAACGTGCGCGATGTGCTCGAAAAACGAAACCGAAAGAAGATGGGTCGGGAGGGCGAAAGCTTTCTCCGGTCTGCCTGGAGGAGGAAAACGTCTCGGAGAATAATAAGGACTTTAATTTTCCTCTCATCGGTCTGAGTTTGTGTATGTGTGTTTTGTTAAACAAAAAAAAAAAACAAAAAAAAAACACTTTTCTGGGGATCGAATCGTTGACCACTTGGTCAGTAGGCCGATGTTCTACCCCTGCGCCAACTGAACAAGGGGGAACTCGCCCTCCTCCTTTCATCTGAACTGCCGTTCCTCCCTTCTCTGGGCAACTTGTCCGCAACAAGGAGGAACAGTCGCTTTTGCTACCTTTCTCCTCCCTTTTTTCTTAGAGTGTAGTTTCTAACGACATGAATTGGAAGGTATTAGTGGGTACAAGTAAAATACAAATAGTGGAGCTAAGGCCTTTGATACATGCTGCGCACCCCAGAGGCGACTGGGAACTAATAAAATTAAGGTGTGTAGAGATGGGCTGCGGGGGCGTGCACATCGAAGTAGGCGCGCACCCTCGCAGCCCTTTTCCACCACGTAGTTGTATTAGTTTATAGTTGCCTCTTGGTAGCGCAGGATCTATTCAAGGCAGTGTTGATGGTAACGCGTTGCACGTAACGTACCCGTAACGCGTTAGTTTTTCGGTAACATGGTAACGTACTCGTTACATTTTAGAACAGTGACATATAACGGACTTGCGTTACTTACTTTATTTCCTTGGGGACGTAGTTACCTTTCTCGTTATATTTTCCAAGCAATACATACACTTAAATTCCAACTATTTTTTAGTGCTTTTAGGCGCCAAGTCATGTATTCTTGCACTCATCCTAGATAGCTTCAAAAGTTTGCCTCTCTTTTCCCCACTCAAAGAGTCTCCCTTCAGAAGACCCCCGACGCCCACGCTCTTTGTCCGTGTATCGAAAAACGCACTTTACACAAATACCGTTGCCGTCAATTTTTAAATAGAAAAGTAACAGAAACGTTACGTGCGTTACATTTTTTGGCAAATTTGGGGGTTTTACGTGCCAAACCAACGGCGGGCATCTGGCACGTCCCAGTGGAGGACTGAGGATTAATTTCGACCACCTGGGGATCTTTTGACGTGCAACCGAAAGCTCGGTTACACGGCTTCTTCTCCGGAATAAGCCTCCGTCAGATTGCGGGCACCTCGGCCGGGATTCGAACCCGCCACATGGGGATCCGTAGGCCGACGTTCTCGCCTCTGAGCCACCGAGGTGGCTGTTACTTTTTTGGGTAACGGTAACAGTAAAGCGGTCCTCTTATATTGAAGTAACATAGTTCGAATAAGTGTTCTTTTTTTATTTGCAAGTAACGACTAACGTATTCCGTTATCTTTTCGGTAACTTGTACAACACTACTTCAGGGAGACCCGCTCCGCTGTTCGCATTTCATTCGTACTCCATAGTACATGTTTGAAATGTGTGTATGTCTGCCTTTTGAGAACACTTTTCTTTTTTTTTCTTTTAAAGGGGGCAGTAAATAATTTAGCAGACACAGTTAAATTAGGTGCTTATAAGACCCTAAAAGCTAGACTCCATGGGGCGGTTGTGATGCGAAAATGTGACGAATTTTGACCGGCAGCTTTTGCTCTGCGCGGGAAATCAGCACTGGATGCTACGCTGGGCGCATAGCGAGCTTGCCGTAAGGCGAAGTTTGTCAGTTATTCGTCGTATAATTCGCTCTTTGCAGATCAGCTTTAATACGTTCGTCTCCGGAATATGCTCAAGTAATTTAAGATTTACACGTGCAGTGCCAAATAGATCAAGCTGTGCGTATTCGGTGGCTTGCAATAGACTTTGTTTATTCTGGATATCTTTGCACGGAATCTATAACTGAATCAGTGGGGTGTGTCCGTGGGTGTGTGTGTGTGTGTGTGTGGGGGGGGGGGGGGGGGGGCAAGCTATCAGCCTTGGCTTTAAGAAGAAAAATTGGAGGGCTAGGAGTAAGAAGTAAAATTGGATGGAAAATAGCACTTTAAGTACTATTTTTTGGTAAAACAAATTTAGTAAAATAGCTTGAAGGGCGACTTTTTTGTTGGAATTGATAATGCAGAGGACATACAAAACATTTTATTTGATCTCTGTTCAAAGAGGTGCTAGTTCTCTTGGGGGATGGGTAACTGATTTTGTTAGCGCACTTCAGCTGGGAACATGTATAGCGGACGCTCGAGCAGCAGAATCCAGGGATCCTGGGTTCAATCCCCACCCCTGCCCGTTTTGTTTTGGATGGCCATGGTACCGGCGTGCGGTCGTGTATCACTACTGCGTGGTGAACGTTGAAAAACACAGGCTAGTAGTCTTACTCTACTGGCTAAATTTTCCGCCTACAGCTGAGACATCGGTCGCTCATCAAGGCACACTAAATTACGGCTGTATAAGCATACATAAACCATTATGTGTTCCTTTAAAATGCTGCTGGGGAATGATTTTGTGGACGTTCATGTTTGACCGGAAATCACCTAAATGATGAACCTGTCCGTGGTGATTAGCCGCTGTTTTTCTTTCTTTTTTGTTGTTTCTTTGTTAAAAAAACACGCCTCCGTAACAGCTCATAAGAGCTATCAGTATTCTATATAAATAAATAAAGAAATAAACGCGCTTTGTCTCAAAAAAAAAAAAATATATATATATATATATATATATATATATATATATATATATATATATATAAGTGTATGGGAACGCGACAGAACAGCACAGCGACAAAAGAGCACGTCAGGGTATGTGCCAAAACAACACGGCGTCAAAACAGCACTCATGTAGCAACTTCGCGCGCGCTCGTCACCTCTCTCTGCTCGATAAGTATCTTGATCCGTCAGTGCTGCAGCACTGACGGATCAAAATAATTATCGAGCTATATATTACAGCCTATTTAACGCTCATGAGCGTTAAAAAGGCTGTAATAGATAGCGTTTCTATTACATTTTGACGCTGTGGTGCTTTGACGCGTGCTGTTTTGACCGCGCTGTTTTGTCGCGTGCTGTTTTGTCGTGTGCTGTTCTGTCATGGTGCCATATATCAATGTCTTATGAAAGCCCTATTTATTTTATTATGCTTAGATTAAACGACGCTGTGAAGGATTACAAATAACGTGAAACTGAAACTAAAATAACGACACGACAAACCCTAACGAGCGCAGTGAACAGCGCCTCGAAGATTTACAAATAATGATTCTGAGACTAGAAGGACGCCCGACAGAGTCAAATAGGCACCTCGCGCTTATTCGTATTTCTTGAGATAAAAAATTTAGCTCGTTACACTTAATTTTCAATGTCGTGTTGTCTTTCTCGTCTCAATATCGTTATTTTAAATGATAAGCGGTACAGTTTATTTAGAGCACGAAATAAAAACATCAGGTAATTTCGACCCTGCTGTTTTCATTGCGTGATTAATGTGCATATAATATTGCATTTAATTATAATAATATTGGCTATACTAAACAGCACAGCAGCGATTAAAACAGATACCTTGGCAGACATGCAATCTATTATGAGAATAAACAAAGCGCTCAACATTTAAGATACGCGAACTTACACAAAACGATGTACAACTCTCTTAATTCCAGCGTAACATATCCGCCGTTACAGCCAAATGAGTAACCCGAAAATAAGAAACAAAAATTCAATAAATTGTTCATTTGTTGATAAAAAAAAAATAACCCAGTTACAAATATTCATCACAACTTTTTTTCTTTTTTCCAGGCAAAAGAACAGAATGTTTTTTTTGGGTGAAGGAATGGTTTCTTGGGAGCCCGCTGAGAGACTGCCGTTTTATAGTCAACCTATTTTGTGAAAAAGGCTATGGTGTGAAATCCCCCGAAAAATGCGAGTGACAAGCTTCTCAAGCAGCAATAATAGAACTTTAGGAACTGGCACAGCTATCCCAAGAGCTGCTACCAGTTAAGATAGTACGTTTTCAATAAAGTCATTTAACAGTGAATAATGTAATAAGTTTAACCATAACATCTAGGCCACTTAATGTAAAGTTTTTCTCCAGTTTCTGTGCAAACCCGCACGGATTTTCTCTGTTGGTACTTGCACATCGGCTTAGTACGGTTCAAATGTTTATTTTAATAAAGAAAAAGCAAATGTAAAAAAAAAAATGCTGTTAAAAAACTTGTTTTATTGGATAAATACTTGTCCTACGTAATTTTTTCCTCTGGATAGAAGGTCACTCTTTTCACGTGATACTAAACAGCCTACATCAGGTATTCTCCTAATAAGTAATTAAATTGTGGCGCACAATTGGAAAACAAAATTATAGAGTTAAAACATCCAATCACAACAGTCGTGAAAACCTATAGACTTCTTAAGCAACGGTTCCTAAAATGTAATAATAAATATTACGTTTATACCAGACGCAAAGAAAAAAACAATTGAAATTGAATTGAAGGCCATCACTTAGTCTCAAAAACGGCAGCAACTGGTATGAGAAATAGTGGCAGCCAACGCTCTAGATTCTAGAATTTGAAGTTCTCTGTAGACCTTTAGTATTACTGCTAGCCAGGGATGCTAAAATATTTAGTCATCGTGGCATATGCCTCACAAGTATGCTGTCAATTAAAGCATAAATGTAATGGCATTTTAATAGAACAGAAGTGAAAAGCCTTTTAATATACGAAAAAATACCTGTGATATTTTTAGTTATACTTACTCACTGACCCATCAGCGAATGAACATTTTATAATTATGAGCATATATCTAATTCAAAGTCCTGCACTGGCAATACAAGCCCTGAGCGAGGGGGCGACACAAGGAACTTCCGCTGTTCCGTCGTCCAGTTATTCACAGTGATGTTGGCATCGGCTGCTAGAGGCACTACTATGTGCACATAATCTCGCTTATTCTCTCATTTGTATAAGACATCGGGCAGTTTATTCGTGTTTGCACAAAAAACAAATTAGGTAGTCAGTTGTTTCATGGGGTGGATAGTCCAATGCCCATTTGGAGCCCGGAAAGCAACCACTGATTTTTAAAGCTGCTTCCAAACAGAATACTTGCACTCATCATCAACATCTTATTTGGGCATTGACCTCGCGACAGCAGTCTTCGTTCTACACTGCAATACAAAACTCTGTTAAAAATAGATTAATAAAAAGCAGAGAAAGATCGAGATATCAGTCTAGAAGAAGTTAAAAAAGAGAGCTCTGGTCCTCTGGCAAGCACGCGCGCTTGTGCTGTGCATGTATCATACAGGGCGGCATGATTGCGCTTTGTTTTTATGTGCCCACATTATCTATACTCCGTTTCATGGTTAGTATACAGCGCTGTCGAAACTGAGCGAGTGAGTGAGTGAGAAAACGTTTTATTTAAACTTTGTAAGGTGGCAAAGAAGTTGAGAATCAATGACGATTGCCTGGGCCCGTTCCCTTATAAAGAAGAGGACAATAGATTCGTACACTGACGATTTTTACTACGGTATAGTCATGCCTAGGGCGTGGTGGTGGGGGAGGAGTGGAAGGAAATGCAAGTGTAGATAAAGGGCGACTCTATCTGTGCATGCCCAGGCCAGACTATCTTAGGAAGACGATTAGGCTAGCGAAGACCGTCTGTCGTCTTTGTTTTTTTCCCCCCAGCCGAAAGCAGGCATGAAGGAGGCCTGTCCTGCGGTTCGAGAGCGGCACCGAGGGCTGCAGCTAGATTGTTCTTCTGAGAAGGTCGCACATACCCACAGGAGATGTCCTTCGCCGGCTGCCACGTCTGCCTTGCAGTAAGGACAAGAGTCGGGTTCTCGCTGAAAATTCTCGGGGTGTCTCCTGGGACGTTTGGCGTTGTCCCCTTTTTTAGACAGGCGGGTGTCATTAGCGCTCCTGCTAGTAGTCCTCACAGTATTACAATTCGAAACTTCTTATAGCTCCCATTGGTGATGTGCATTCCTAAGGAGGACCTTCGTTTCGTCTAGCTTTCAGCGCGCTTCCTTCCTCACCATGGCTTTGCCTCTTTCAATGGATTTACCGGGTCGTAGCTTGCGCCATCATGTCCAGCGGTGCCGTGGATGCCACTGAGGGATGGAGCGCGATACCCCCTCGGCGGGGGCTCGGTCTCGTTTCCTGCAGTGGCTATGTGGCTCAAGATTGATCCTATTAAAGCCTTTACGTATGTCTGGCGGCCAGTCGGAAGATCTTTCTGATTGCCTGTTTATTTTTGTGCTGGGTACTGCACGTTTTTTGCACGTTGTACGAGTCTCAACTTTCTCAAGCTTGAGTCGTTCTCTGCGCCTCGGTCCTCGTCTCATGGCCTCCAGCACTGCCACCGCTTCCGCCTCCTGCGTGAATGATATTTCCTTGTCGTCAAGAAGTTTGGCTTTCGAAGATCATGTGCGGGGAGAGTTCCAGGCTGTCGCCGCTCGGATTTTGTCGTCACCTTTCGCGCAAGCCGCGTTCGTGTCGCATAACTCGTCGTTCTCCCGGCCGGGGGTTCCATTATTTTGTCGTGTCTGTTCGCATAGTTCACTCTTTTCTTGGGGTTTCGGGCTGCGTTTATCCTGCGCGGAATAGGGCGATTTGGCGCCGCCAAGATACGGTCCCACGTAGGTATCTGGGGTTATATCTGCTGCCTTGCCGTCCACCTTCCTTCTGAAGAGTTCTGCGATCGCCGTGCCTTGGGGTGTGTGCATGAGTATGAGTCGAAAGTTATATACTCGCTGTTTCGCGATGTCGTTGACAGAGGGCATCGGAACCGCAGCTCTGATTTTGGCGTACTGGGAAAGTCCCGATATACATATTCTCGCCTCGTTGAATAGGGTTCCCAGCTTGGTTTTGTGGTGGCTACCAAGGTTTTATTAAGTGAACTCCATACAACACCTTAGATACCAGGGCGGCCTGAGCCATGGTCTTGGCCACCCGGTTCTCCGAAACCGCCGGCATACGTGGCCATTCTTCTCGCTATGGACACTCCCTGTTTCTAGGTGTCGCGCATTCTTCCTATCTACGTGGTGGGGCCGACTTTGGAGTTTAGGATTACGCCAGGAGAGCGTGTTCCTCCGTCCTCTCGATGTCCGTGCCGTGGAACGTGAGTTTTACCTGGGCTCGCCTCCAGCCCTGGCAAAACACCATGTATTTCGTCTTTTCGGGCGACGGTTTTAGGCTTGCTCAAGCCAAGAAAGCGATCGGACGAGTCGAGCCGGCCTGACAGAGGCTGACCACGCCTGGTCGAACTATGAGAGGCGCCGTCGAGTTGAGAGCCAGAGACGCAGTAGAAACGGACCGTAAAACATCTGTCCCGTAAGACGCAGAACGAGCCAGCGACGCCAAAACCGCTACGTCGCCATCTCCGCGACGACCGGAAGCGTGGAAGCCGGGAAGTTAGAAAAGGCGCGGCAGCGGAAGCCACTGGACGGAAGTTTTACGTTTCGGTTTCGCTTTTCTCCGACGCCGGCTACGGCTGCGGGCTGGTGGGTTTGCGGCTGGGTGCGACGACCCGAGGGGCCACGAAAAGACGCCGAGTTGGCCGAGTACGAGTCACGGCCCACGATACGAGCAACGGGCCGTTTGCCGCTGTCGACGGGCGATGCGGTATCCGCGGCTTGGTGTCACTATCGGTTTGTTGCCGTGCACGTTGACTCAAAGCTCGAAGTTATGCAGTTCCGTTCCGGCACCAGCCGCACCACGTTTTGCGGTGCATCGCACGTGGAGGCCTTTCGACGTATTCGGTTAACCTAAAGATCGTGCCCGCTGTCTTCGGTGCTGTGGAAGAAGTTGGGAGGCGGAAGAAGCATCAAAACCAAGGCGTTTAGGACTCCCGGCCGAACCGCCGGTTCACTCTGAACGAGAGGCGACGTGTGTGTGCAGGCTTTGAGGAAGCCTCCGCGTTTCGCCGCGCCAGACCTCGCCGATCGCGACTGGACCAACCGGACCCCGAGTCCGAGAGGCTCTTGCGCAGCCACGAACGGCACCGAGTATAGGATCTGCTCGTTCTGCGCTACCATGCAGTGCTCTACAGTGCTCGGAGCTCTCGGTGTCATTCGTGCTTTCACCGAAGCCTCTCTGGCCCCTTCAGACGCGCAAGTCGTACTTCGCAAAGGTTTGGACGGGGCCGCCCTCACCGCAAAGGTTTGGACGGGGCCGCCCTCGGGAAAAAATTGCGGGACCGCTCTCCGCGCCGCCGACGACGTTGGCCACCGCCATGTTCTCAGCTGTTCACTCGCTCCAACAGCGAGCGCCTTTAGATAATCCTCCCCGTTCCAAAATGCGATGCGATCCCCGTTTACATGGGCTGAATGAATGCGCACTCGCCATCTCGATCCACCTCTGTCTAGCGACTTTAATGCGATGCGCTTTGCGCATTATGCCGTTTACATGACCGCATAATGAATGTGGCAACTGGATTCAATGCGACTAAGTCGCATTCATGTAAACGCGGCTTACGTTCTTTTTCGACATGTATGGTGTATGTAACGATACCAGTGGTAAACGATGGACGTTTTTTTTGGAAGATAGCGGTCGTCTTTCTGCAAGTATGATGTGGTTATACCGGTGGTCCTGTGATATAAGCGTTTGTTGGATAGATGGCGGTCGCCTACGTCATCGGACGCAAAATCATACCAGCCACATCGAATCATATCGGCAAGCAAACTGACTGCCAGTATAGACAAACCCGGAGCCAGAGCGGTGCCGGTATCTCCAGTTATGAAGAACGCCAAACCAAACTAGTTGCATTCATAATAACACAAAAATTATTGTGGTGTCATACCAGAACTGTACAAGCAGCAGGTTTGTTTCTCGTACGTTTTTCCATTGGGGCCAGGGACAAGAATTATATAAGTGACACGCCCCTATCCTTATCTACAAATGAGTTTGAATTTTTGAAACGCGGGCTGAATAGATAGGGTAAA